ATAGCATGAGGTTTGAGCTCAATTACCACACACGATCAGTGGCAATGTCTAGAGTGATATTTGGCTCGCGAACGCATTCGAATCTGTAGCGGCGTGGGCCGCTGTACTGTACTAATAGCTACGATAGACGATAACGTAGGACTATCGGGCCAATGGAATACTGCTCTGAATTGTTATGTAGCTAGGAGGAGACGACTATATACCTGATCTGTACTACACTAGTCCAGGGTGGTCGATCAGGGGTAGAGTGAACTTGTACGGACCAACCGATACCGCAACAAAATCTCATGAACGATCTGCCGAACAGATGTCAGCGCTACCACGTGGGGGGTTTGAGGACTCAGTGTTGCAAACACACTGCACAATCCAGCATTATGGTTTGCTGTTACAGTACTGGAGATGATGGCATCTTATCTTACCCTTCGAGATCCGTGTGTTTCATCAAGGCTGATCGTGTCAATGACTACAGCAGAGGCAGCACATGTGAAAGATCCACACTCGCATCCCGCTATAGCAGTACCTCCACTTTCACCTACTTTGGGCAATTTGCAACTCCACATTTATAACAGAACCTTTCAACGACCGACTTCACGTCCATGTCTGTCCCAGATGCAGGGCCACGGGAAAATGGCCACGCAGCCGACCTGCAGATCTTCCGTCGCACCTTTGATTGCGGTCATCTTGATGAGTTCATCGAAGTACGACTGCTTGAAGGCGGAGAGAAATTGCATAATATAAATACACTCGAAGTGTTCAAGGAATACAATAGAGCTGAGAACTGCCCAGTGAACATCAAGGCGCGATGTCTGAACTGCGCAAGAAAAGCGAAAGACGAAGACGACAGAGACCAAAGGGTACGACCAAAGAAAACACTGGGCGCGTACCAAGCAGGCACATCGTCTACGTATGCAAGAAAGACTGGTATAATCCCCCAGGGTGGGTTTGAAGGTATTTTAGAGAGGTACAGATGTTCAAATAGTCAGGGCACGGCCGTAAAACCTCATCCACGCGTTTCGGAAGAGGCGTATCGAGCTCACCGCCTTGAAGTTAAAGCAGAAGCTGCAGCATTCCCTGGCAAGTGGCTAGCGATTCCAGCAAGAAGAGTTGAATCAGCGATCCACCGGAGGATGTCTCGCTTGTTTGAAGAGAACAACGAACCGCTCCAGTCTAACATAAATGGCGACAACGGCAGCGCTCAATCTGGTGTACTCCCACAAACCAGGAAAGATGGCGAATCATCCGGTCTGTGTTCTGAGCTAGAAATGGTGGAAGGCAAAGATACTGGAGACGTTACCATGATAAAAGCTGAAATTGACCCTGCCAAAGGTACCAACTGTTTCTTTCTCGCGCTCCCGTCAAAGAGCGAAGATGAGAGATTCCGACCAGTTGCCATGAATAGGCAACGAAAGCTTCTCGACGCGGCTGACTTCATTGGGAAGAACAGCGACGGCACCCCCTCGAGTCGTGCGATGGAATTACACTGCCCTCAGACCGCCAATAGCTCTGCTTCATCGGCAAGAGAGTCCGCCGTCATGGAGGACTTGGTCGATCAGTATGCCTTACATCTCGAAAACGACTTTGATCCAGCTCTTGTAGATACGAGGTATGAGAAACCACGACCAGTCCCCGCGGTGCCTAAGAAAGGTCCGCTGGACTGTATAAAGCGGCGAAGCAATACCTCGCCAAGAGCGTCGAGGAACTTCCGGAGGTCACGTTTGGATACCCCTCACTCCGCCCGATCCGTCGAGATAATGGAGCTGGGCAATGAGAGTCCAGACTGGGCCTGCCAAACCTCCTTGGCCATTGAGGCTGGAAGAATTTCTATGGACAGTGTGAGCATGCAAGATCGGGAGTTGATATCGTCGAAACACATTGGAAGCGAGGCGTAGCCCCATCAAAATCATACCACCATAGCGCAGGAAAGTGCAGGGTGTCAGACCAGGAAAGAGGCGCGTGACCTGCTCATCGCCTTCCAGTGAATACAGCTCAGTTCTTTCCGCGGCAGGTACACATTCAGAAGGCGCATTACAGGCTGTGCGAAAATGTAACGGTCTATAAAGCCTTCTGAACTCTAGGGTTAAGTTAAGAAGGTCGACCTTTTTGACCGCGACAGAAAAGCAAGCGCTGCTCGTCCGGTAGGAAAGCTCGAGAGAACGGAAAGCGTGATGCAACAAGAGCCACCTAGGCGTGACAATACGCAGGTGGCTTCGCTAATGGACCTGAACAAGAGCATGTCTGCCTTGAATTGGCAAGAAAGCGGGAAAGATGGCGAGGAATGAGCCGGGTCTAGATGAAGGGGACCAGGGCGAGCCGCTACCGAGCCTAGAAGGGTATAATAGCTTAGCAATCACATAGATTTATAAATTTGTGTGATTTACTGCCTGACTCCAGTGTTCTAAAGCTAGCGATTCGCATCATTGATGTCTAGAATTAGACCGCAGGCAAACAAAGGCTGTTCCAACACACTGCACCTCGAGTGACTGTCGTGCAATTTAAAATGGCAACGGCTTCTTGACCCCAAATACGCATGATATAAAAAGGCCCGATTGCTTACTGGCCGCAGAATATGCTGCTAATAGGCACCGCCGCTCCGCTTCCGCTCATGATCATAGCGCTGCTACTATTGAATGTTTTGATTACGTCCTGTGTAAGGACAACACAGCGGACTAGTGCAAGCGGGAAGAGCTTAACGAGATTTGAAGCTTGTTCGTTTCCTGTGAAGCCAAGCTGGTCAGTGATTCCCGTGGCTATGAAAGAGCTGGCGATTTCTGGTACAGCATTCTCTGCAGAGATCACTCCTGCTATCTGGTTAGCTTCGGAGCAAGCTGGATAAATAACTAACGTCCCTGGCGAGAAATGTCCCGGCCTCCTCATCTCTGCGTCTGAGCAGTTAGCGAACAGCGGCAGAAAGAATTCCTTTGCGGGAGACCCATTGCCTTGCCCTGCAGTGATTGATACGGCTGGGATGCCATCAAGCAAGCAGTTGTACTTTCTTTGCCCAATCACAGGGAGTGGGAGTAACAGATAAAGCAGTGTAGTTTTCATGCTGCGTTGTTATTATCTGCGATGTGATCTGTGTTTGGAGTAGGCAGGCTTCTTAAAGAGAACAGTGCATCCATCGCTTACTAAGGTTTTGATAAAGTTGGGTCCCAAAACCCTGCCCATGGAACAGGCTTCTCAGCTCGCTACTTGCTCTGTGACGTCCAAGCTTTGAGTCTGTTGAAGGGTTCAGATGTTGTCGGGATTCGTGGACAGTACGCATGTGGGAAGAATTGAAGGATTAAACTGACTATTCTACATGCTACGGAGGGAGCTATACATAAGGAAATGTCTACGTTGACGTTGTGTAGCTGTCAACATGTAGTCGTGCGACGTAGCAACCAATCAGCAGATAAGCGCCTATGCGGCCGACTGCAAGGAGACACCTCAACCGTGACAGATGTTGATTGATCTATCTGGTGAGCTATGGTGAGGATCGATCGGGACTATATAGTAGAAGGGGATAGCAGTGAACGGATGGGGAAGCAAACTGACTAACTGAATTAGCTGGACAATCAGTGCAGCGGACTGTTGGCGAACAATATTGAAGAACTAATCTGCTTGTGTACACCTGCAATGCTCAACCATAGCACCTCAACGCATCGTCTACGGAGGGTATTGCTCTTGGTCGGTTATGTGTCCATGAAGATTTAGGCAATATCCAGTTGTACAAGCATCTCATCGTTGTCGTGCTCCACCCACTGCTCACCCGCTGCTCACCCACTGTTCACCCACTGCTCACCCACTGCTCACCCACTGTTCACCCACTGCTCACCCACTGTTCACCCACTGCTCACCCACTGCTCACCCACTGCTCACCCCTGCTCACCCACTGCTCACCCACTGCTCACCAGCTGCTACCAAACGTATCACTTAAGTCGTTCGCTCAGCAATTCACCAACACATCGTTTCTTTGTCAAGGCTATTCTAAATGGGCTTCGCGCTCACTTACGTATATTTTTCCTGTTTTAGAGAAACACAACTTAAATCCAATCAACGGTAGTACTTGCAACTGTTCCGCATTCGCTATGTATAAACGATGGAATTGATTTCTTTGCGTATCTGAAACCAGGGACACTGGTGAGTCGATCTTACAGGGAAACTCGGTCAACGATGGGTTCTAAAACCTACTCAAAACAAGAACAGATTGAACGACGTCAACCTGCGTACCTCTCCTCTCAACTGCGGAGAGCTTTGTCACTTATTCTATAACTACTTAATGTTCGCCCATGCGTGCCGAGACACACAGTGTTACGGGACAGGTTTGCACTCCGGAAGAGACGATGTGCCTCTAAACTGATACAAACAGGATATGCAACTCAGCGCAGTATTCCATCGACCCAATAGTACTACTTTGTGGTTTACCGTAGCTAACAGTTGTTCTTGTTGTTCTGTGATTGTCTCTCACCCGACCGTCATCAGGGTCTGTTTACATGACGTATCTGTCGTTCAGCCAGTGGTAGTTTCTTTACTGCAAAGCAGCAAGCAAATACAAACAAATATAGGAATCATCTGTCAAATATTTGGAAGTATTTGGCTTGCTTATATCATGTGATGCTGAATCCATTGCCAACACTAATTTTACTCTATCTTAATTGTTGCGGGCTGCACAGTGTTGCACAGTATGCCTTGGCATAAAGTGTTGATGTTTTCCCAGACAACCGCGTATTTTCCGCGTACACAGCGCATCAACACTTACCTTTACATATACTCCAGCCAAATTGCCTACGCCTACAGCTTACTTTTCCGCGTATTTGCTTACTTTCACGCCTGTCATGCCTCCAAAACGAAGCCGCGAGCCTGTTGAGGCAGCTGGAGTACCCACCAAACGCCGTATCAAACATACTCAACGCTGGAGAGAAAGCCAGGGGCAGCTTACTCCCCCACCAACACAACCAACAGAGCTACCAGTTGAGATATCTATCGAGATATCTGATGAGCCGGAGCCACCTATCGAGGTGCCTGAAAGTACACCAATCCGTTTGGTAGAGCCACCAACACAGCCGGAAGAGCACACCCAAAGGCTATCACACGGCCTATAATACAAGCCTCACAGGCTGACAAGCCAGCATGGGAGTCGCAGTTGGTGGCCAAGAAACCACCTACAGCTACTCAGCCGCCACGTGCGTTTAGTAGTGCTGCCACAGAGGCTTCAACAGAGGATAGTGTGGATGAGAGCTTGGTCAACTTCACTGACTATGAAGGCCTTGATTGGAGTCGTGTGAAGGGCTTCGCGCCGCCTCTCAGTACACCTACAGGCAAACCCAGCTGGGTATATAGGCATGGCTGGCGGATTTGGAAGGAGCACACACAGCCCGAACAGCTCTACTTTCTCTGCAAGTACTGCCACACACAAAGGAAGCCTGGCGGCTTACTACAGGTTGGATCGGCAACCAGCTCTGCTATCACACATTTGAAAGCTGATAAACCTGGCCATCAGCTTAGCAAAGACGGGCTTATAGTCCGCCAGAAGCTGCTCTATACTGGTCAACCATCAATACGATCAGTACTACAAAACGGTGTCAAATTCAGTCACAACACCTATCGAGAGCTGGGTAACTTCAACGTACAGGGCTTCCGCGAAACTGCTGTTATGTGGCTAGTCAACAACAATCGACCTTTGCACGAGTTTGAAACCAAGTCCTTCCGTACAATGATAAAGTACGCCAATCCAGAGGCAGAGGCAGCGCTGTGGAGGTCTCACAACAGTGTCTCCGCATTTGTTATGAAGCTGTACAAAGGCCTGCTGCCTCAAATCAAGCGTGCCTTGTCTGAGGCATCAAGTAAAGTACACATTAGCTTTGACGGCTGGACAACCAAGGGAGGCAAACGTGGCTTCTTTGCTGTAGTTGCTCACTTTGCTGACAGTCAAGGCACGCTTTTTGACCTTCCCATTGCGCTGCCACAGCTGGTTGGAGCTCATACAGGCGAGGCAATCGCTGACTGTGTTGCAAAAGTTCTACGATACTTTGGTATAAGCAGCAACAGGCTTGGTTACTTCATGCTTGATAACGCCTTCAATAACGATACTGCTGTTAACAGACTCGCTACAATGTACGGCTTTGTTGCCAATGATCGACGCCTCCGCTGCGCTTGCCATATACTCAATCTCATCGGCCAAACAATCATGTTTGGCACTGATGCTGACGCCTACGATAACGCTCCCGAGCATATAAAAGAAGAAGAGTTTTACATGAGGCAGTGGCGGAGAGATGGCCCGCTGGGTGTGTTTCTTGATATCATCAACTACATCAATACACCTAAGCAATGGAGTACTTTCGCTGATTGTCAAGCTACAGCAGCAGGTGAGCTGCCTCCAGGCGAAGGCTGTCTCCGCGAGCCATTTAAGCCAGTTGTCACACGCTGGAATAGCTTTCACGACTGCTTTAGGCGTGGAGTTGAGCTCCAACTGGCTATCAACAACTACATTGCTTTCCACGTCAAAGCAACAACAGATGCTGATGACAGGGCTGAGCTACGCGGCAACAAGAAGCCTGATGCTCCACGTTGGATGCGATCGGGCGGGCTTACAGCTGCAGACTGGGCAGTGATTACTGAGTATATTGAGGTACTTCAGCCGCTCAAAGAAGCTACCAATCGACTACAGGGTCGCGGGCAAGCTGGCAGTCACGGCGCCTTATATGAAGTACTTCCTGTATTTGACAACCTGATTACTGAGCTGGATTCACGCCTACAGGCCTGGGGCGCTGTCGATTACCTGCCAACTGAGGCACCCGAAGACCACCTGCCTATCAACCTACGTGCCGCCAAACGTAAAGCACTCTACTACTTTGAGAAGCTGCTTCAAACACCTGTTTACTACACTGCCACGACTCTCCACCCGCGCTATAAAACATACTTCAAGCGAGTTTGGCGAAACAAGCCGTCACAATTAAGTGCTTTACAAGCACGATTCCAGCAAGTCTGGGCTGAGTACAAGCCTGCCCGCGTGGCTATTGCTACTACAATGTTACAGTACTAAGACTAAAGTCTGGTCGCGAATTTGAGCTCAGGCCACAACAACAACACCGACACGTATCACCACCTACACTTTGCACGTCTATAGCTCCACAACCATGAGACATTTTGGTGCTGCAATTAGCGGCAATCGACAGCCAGGTGCTGAATTATCTTTGCGGGAGCGCGATGGTAAATGTGCTGCAGTAGAGGGTGGTGCAGGAACAGAGGAAGTTGCAGCCCAGTTTCAGACATCCAAACGCACTGTGCAGCGCACTCTAAAGCGATACAACGAGACTGGCAGCAACCTCAGCAGGCCTCGCAGCGGCCGCCCAACAAGCCTCACACATCGCCAGCGTCGCCTTCTTCTTCGTATTGCCCGAAAATACCCAAAAATCGAATACCGTCAGCTTATGGAGGAGGCAGAACTGTAGCCAGCCAACACAGCAACCCCTATTGTTGCAGTCAAAACAGTATACCGTGCTTTGCTTGCGCAAGGTCTCCGCAACTTCAGGTCAAAGTGCCGTCCAAAGATCAACAGAGCCACAGCATTGCTGAGGCTTAAATACTACCAGAAGTGGCGCTATTTCAACTACAAGAGGGTGACTGTGAAGTTCTCTGATGAGTGCAGCGTTGCAAGAGGTTCTGGAGAGAACCAAGAGTGGAGTTTTCAGTATCCCAGGGAGAAGTTTGACCATAACAAAGTTCATGAAAGCAGCACATCACGGCCAAAGCAGCAAATGGGTTGGGGCTCTATTTGGTGTACACCAGGTGGCCGTGTTGGCCGGTCTCTGCTGGTGATCATGGAGCGCGATTTCACTGCAAAACAACACGGCTACACCTCTTGGAGTTATTGCAAAGCCCTTGAAGAGGGACTGTTGCCTCATTACAAGCCAAACCAGATGTTTATGCAAGACAATGCACGGGTACACACATCAAAGTACACCAAGGAATGGTTAGAGAGTCATGGGATTTGGACCATTGAACATCCCCCATACTCACCCGACCTTAACCCTATTGAGCACATGTGGTGGGCTTTGAAAAGAAAGCTACACCAACTTCACCCAGAGTTTGACACACTTGGAGACTCACAGGAGGAGTGGGAGTGTTTCTGTGAAGGTCTGAAGGAGGCATGGTTGGCTATACCGGATCTATTAATCAAGAAACTTATCTACTCAATGCCTAAGCGCCTGAAGGCGTGCAAGGATGCGCAAGGTTACCAAACAAATTACTAAGTATGTAGATTAATTCACTCTGTTATATTATATATTGACCGTGTTGTTGTGGAGAAAAGGCGTTGTGAACATTCACTCAAAAGTGCGTAGGGTGGCCTGAGCGCGACGCTGCGACCAGACTTTTGTTCAACGATTGTACGATCAAGGGCAACCCGCAACAACACTGAACGAACAGGACTACGCAACGATACGAGAGAAGCCGAAGAACTGTAGTATCGATCGACCCGAGCAGTGGGCCGCGTCGGCGATACTCAGTATGATCATCACTCTCAGTTGAGCAACTCAAGCGACCCGGGCAGTGGACCGCATCGGCGATACTCGGCACGGTCAGTATACTCGGCACGGTCAGTATACTCAGCACGAGCAGTATACTCGGCACGAGCAGTATACTCAGCACGAGCAGTGTCTCGGCACGAGCAGTATACTCGGCACGAGCAGTGTCTCGACACGAGCAGTATACTCAGTACGAGCAGTGTACTCGGTACGCTCAGTATACTCGGTACGGTCAGTATACTCAGCACGAGCAGTATACTCGACACGAGCAGTATACTCGGCACGAGCAGTATACTCAGTACCGAGCGATCGGAGCAATCCTGCTCAAGTATATAGCAAGTAGACACGGTGCCCTTATGGCATCGTGTTCAACCTCGTCAATCAACCTTGTTATTGGAATCTCACTCGCTCTCGAGCCAGACAGTATACTCTGTACTACTCATTGCAACCAGTCGTCACGGCCTCCGGCTAGACGGCTATTACCTCGACTATTACGAAGGCTACTACCGCCTTGCCCGGATAGTCTACCCCTGACCACCCGAGCCTTGCTTAGGTGACTGTCAAACCCCTACGGCTTTCTGTACCTCTGCTCATCCCCGAGAACCAATCGAACAGTGTCTACGAGCTTTGCTTAAGGCACGATTCGCAACATACAACAGTAACACCATTGCCAATAGTTAAATCCAACAGCTTTGACGATGCAATCGACTCCATACTTGACGACGATGATGACGACAATAACGGCACGGCAATGGATACAGACGAATACGAGAGCTGGCTCAAAGAGCCTGTGTGGACTTCAGCTCAACACAAGGAGGGACCTACAGCAGTACAGTACTGGCAAATACAGCAGTCAAAGTACCCCAATCTTTCACAATTGGCGCTGGACGTATTGACTATACCTGCCTCCAGTGCTGATTGCGAGCGGGTATTCTCAGGCAGTGGCGATATAATGGAGCCGCAGAGGCGGAAGATGGGTAGTCAACTGTTGGCTGCTCTTATATGTGTACAGCGATGGAGTAAGGCAGGATACCTCACTCCAACAGCAGCAGCAGCAGCAAAGTATAACGACGACGAGCTTATTGAAGAGTTTGGTATTAGCAAGTGGGAAGAGCCGCTGCCTACAACACCATAGAAACCACCTTTCTGTACTCTCAATTAACTCAAATATGAGCAAACAAGCAAACAAATATACCTCTCAAAGCCCTGTCAAATTAAAAAAACAAATCACGACACCACAAACCTGCCAAACAAGCAAGTATAGAGCTTCATATTTGGCTTGATTTGTTTGTTGACAACTCTGCTGGGCTTACAGATAGGATGAATCATTCAACACGCAATGCCTATGTGAGGCCTCTATTGCTGCACCTCAACTCCAATTGTATATCGGGAAGCTTCCCTTATCAGCGATTTATTTCAACTACCGGTAGATAATCGGCTTATCGCCGTATCGGCTTACCGCCGTATCGGCTTACCCTCAGCTTAGAAAAGGCTTTTCAGTCATCATCACCACCGTTCAACGGATGCCATAACCATCATGAACGCTTCCTCAGCCGACAAGCTTACAACACTTACCACAATTCCTCTAGAGACCAGTCTGCACATGCTCAGCTTCCTCGACCGAGCAACTATATTTAGGCTCACTCTTGTGTGCTAGTATCTTGGAACTTTCGTCCAACACCACAAGCTCTATTGCGCCTGGAACACAATTCACCAATGGGAGACGTGTGAAAATGGCATGAAACTTCCGCAGCTAAATCTGTTACAGCTCTCGCTCCTTTTCGACGTCTGTTTTCGCGTATTCGGGCCACACGACCACAGAACGCAGCTATTGTTGAAGAAGACCAACGTCAACTTCAACACGGCACCACAAGTATTTGGCAAACTGCTCGAGGACACATTCCTTAAATCAGGCGCCACTCCTGCAATGCTGCTGCTGCTGCAGAACGGTGCCGACTTCACGCAGGTACCGTGTGGGCTACATAAGCTCTCAGAGGACACATTCCGTAAAATTTGGCGACACTCCTGCAACGCAGCTGCTGCTGCAGAACGGCGCTGGTCCGATTGCGCAATGAATTAGTGTCGCAGTACAGTAAGAGGTCATGTTACAGCACTGTATGAGGTTGAGTAAAAGGACCGACTGGACCAGACTCCTTCAAACAGTATCAGTAACATAACAGCTTCATGGTCAGTTCTTCTTTCCGTTCATTCATAGTATATAACCACACGGCTTGAGTACAATACAACTTCAGTGAACCTTAATATCCATTGCCCAATACCGATTATCTTCAGTACCTTCACAATTAGGCAGCACAGGCAAACTTATGACTATGCCCCACACCCCCTGCCCCTCAATGTGTCCTAGTTGAGGTATACGAAAACAACCCGGTAAATGAGCGTCGGACTACTTGGGGACGACTAACTTGCTGCGGATGCGAAGTGGCGTGTAGCTGCCAAACCACTGTGGACGCTAGCTTTGATGCACGCAAGAGCGCATTCACCCGTGCCACAACTCTTGTAAGTAAGCTTCGTCTGAGGCGATATTCAACGGTGGCGCCGAATTGTCAACGCACGACGCACTTTGTCCAAGATGCGCCGAGTGTGAGATTGAATAATTCTCGGCGGCTCGCCCTCTCGCCATAAGAATATATGTCACGGTTTGGGTGCTCCTGCCTGTCGTACCTCACCTCCATGAGAGTGACTGCCACGTCACACTAGCGTTGTTTACAGCTACTCACCTATATATGCTGTTCGTAGCTTCACTCAATACAACCTAAGTACAATCCTCAACTTCTTCCCCTTGCGTACAGTTCACTGAACTCTCACAGTTATGAGCCCGGATGCAACCCGATTGTACTCACTACACGATACCTGATTTTATCTGTCGCTACTACTGAGAGTTGCGATACGATTACCGCGTCCACCACAGCGCACGATTACCGCGTCCACCACAACGCAACGATTACCGCGTCCACCACAGCGCACGATTACCGCGTCCACCATAGCGCACGATTACCACGTTCACCCCACCAAACACTATGGCTACAGAACGAGCAGTAACTCGGGTTACTGTTATCCTTGATAAAGCAGATGATTGGTTCAACTGGATCTTCCTACGCAAAGACTTTGCTAAGGATCACAAGATCTGGCAATACGTCAATCCAGATACACCGAAGGAGAGCCTACCTGATCTGGAAGCCTCTAACCCAAAGCCTCTACTCACCGACTATAAGGCTAGAGCTACTAAGCTCTCTGACCTATCTTCTGAGGATCGTGAGTCCTACCGATGGGAGGTTGACCAATGGAGACTCGACCAGATCACCATACAGAGACTGGAGAAGGCACTGGTGGATCTGAACACGGAGATCACCAGATCCATCGCCATACGTCACCTCTACCTGATACAGGATCTACCTACTGTTCACGATCGACTTGTCGTTCTCAAGAAGCACTTCTGTCCTTCTACTGCTGATCGGAGTCGCAATTTGGCAGCAAAATACACCAATCTGAAGACAGCTCCACGTAACCCAAAGGCACTCGAACAATGGATGGCTGACTGGATACATGTCACTACTCAATGCCAGTCAATCAACCTGCCAGAAACTAGTGGCTATAAGCCCCAGGAGGATTTTCTAACAGCCTGCCAAGCTCACTATCCAAACTACGCTGCTACCTGCCTTGATCAGGTATACGAACACGAGATCAATGGTACTGATCTACCTACCCTACCCGCCTACGTCGAGAAGATGACAAAGTATGTCCGTCGAGCTGCCCAGACTACCGAATCAACCCTCCTGTTTACCTCAGCTGCTGAGCTTGGGATTGCAAAACCACCATGCGTCTGTGGGTTACCACATGCTTTACACGATTGTTACATACTCAATCCACTTCACCCAAGCCGACCAAAAGACTGGACACCAGCACCTGTTGGAATCCGCAAGGTTGAACAAGCTCGAAAGGATCCTACACTTGCAAAGCAAATTGAGAAAGCTATGACTGAATGGAATTCACGTCAAAAGAATGGCGACCCTATTCAGATGGATGATGGCCTACCACCTAATCGGCACACATCATTTGTAGTCAACCTACTGGATGATACAGGTCAGCTATCACCAATTCACTGACTTGGTGACAACTGGGGGGTGTGTCACGGTTTGGGTGCTCCTGCCTGTCGTACCTCACCTCCATGAGAGTGACTGCCACGTCACACTAGCGTTGTTTACAGCTACTCACCTATATATGCTGTTCGTAGCTTCACTCAATACAACCTAAGTACAATCCTCAACTTCTTCCCCTTGCGTACAGTTCACTGAACTCTCACACATTATCTTTCGTTCGACTAAGCCCAGCAAGATGCCGCATGCCGACATTCCTGGACCTCCAGGCCGTCGTTTCTTTGGTAACCTTAGGGACATCGACCCAGATAACACGATGGACTCGTTGTGCAGATTGACCGAAATTTATGGTTGGTTATTCTTTGACTTGTGCGAGATGTAGCGACTGACCAATACAGGGCCAATCTGGAAGTTCCATCTGGGCACGGAAGAGAGAATCGTTATTGGCTCGCAGAAATTGATGGACGAGGTATGCGACGAAGCCCGCTTTGTCAAAGTCGTTGCCGCTGTACTCAAACAAGCCCGCAACGGCGTACAAGACGGTCTGGGCACCGCTCATGGTCCCGAAGAGAGAAATTGGGGCATAGCGCACCGTATATTGGCCCCGCACTTTGGACCACTGGCTATCGCAAACATGTTCGGCGACATGCAGGATATAGCTACTCAACTGGTCCTGAAGTGGGCCCGCCATGGGCCTGAGCACAATATACAAGTGACTGAAGACTTCACGCGCCTGACGCTAGATGCGATTGCCCTGTGCGCTATGGACTATCGCTTCAATTCCTATTACAGAGAAGCCATGCATCCTTTCATAGATGCACTAGCAAGTTTCCTTGAAACCAACGCGGGTCGTGCGAAGAGGAGCGCAGTGATGCAGCCGCTCTGTGTCTTCGAAAATCACAGATACTGGGGGAATATCGAGCAGCTGCGAAGGACTGGACATGCGGTCATTAATGCAAGAAAGCAGCACCCTAGTGACAAGAAGGATTTGCTCAACGCCATGTTGCATGGAGTCGATCCCCACACGAGCGAACGAATGACGGTAAGGCCACCTCAAGAGCAGTAAGGACAGCGTGGTTGATAACTTTGACAGGACGATAGTGTCGTCAACAACATGATCACCTTCCTGTTTGCCGGACACGAGACGACCTCAGGTCTCCTCTCCTTCACATTCTACTACCTTCTCAGCAACCCAGCAACATACGTAAAAGCGCAACAAGAGGTTGACGATGCTATCGGTAGAGATCGCATCACCTCCTCACATCTCGCCAGGCTTCCGTACCTCAGCGCTGTACTCCGCGAGTCCCTGCGACTGTCGCCTACCGTGCCCGCAATTGCGCTTGCCGCCAAAGAAGACACCACGCTGAGCGGGAAGTACAAGGTCAGGGCCAATGCGCCCATTATTGCCCTCTTCGCAGCAGTCCACAGAGACCCGCTCGTGTACGGAAGTGACGCAGACGAGTTCCGGCCAGATCGCATGCTCGACATCGAGTTCGAACAACGCAACAAAGAGTTCCCAAACTGCTGGAAGCCGTTCGGCAATGGCATGCGAGGTTGCATCGGGCGCTCTTTCGCGTGGCAGCAGGCACTTGTTGTCGCAGCGATGCTCCTTCAGAGCTTCGACCTCTCTATGAGTGACCCGTCGTACCGCTTGCAGGTCAAGCAGGCGCTTACCATCAAGCCAGAGGGCTTCCACATGCGTGCTCAGCTGCGATCTCACGTGGCATTGCCAAAGCTTGAACGAGCCTTATCCTCAACAACAATCGCCAGCAATCCAGCCGCCCTGAGCCCCATTGTGCTTGGGGCGAATGAGTCCTCGAAGCCGGCGATAGATGTATACTATGGCTCCAACAAAGGCACGTGCGAGGAGCTCGCCAGCCAGCTCGCCAGCCATGCAGCGGACCGCGGCTTTGCGATTGGCATAGTAGGCAAATTGAACTCTGCAAAGAGCTTGTCGCAAACCAACCCTGCCGTGGTTATAACGGCTTCATACAACGGTCAGCCCGCCGACGACGCAGCAGAGTTCGTAGCTTGGGTTCGAGCGCTGAGGGACAATGAGCTTGCCAAAGTCGCCTTCGCTGTGTTCGGATGCGGCCATGGCGACTGGGTCAGAACCTTCCTGGAAGTGCCAAAGTACCTAGACGGTGTGTTGGAGGAGCGTGGCGGCACAAGACTGGTTGCTTTAGGCACGACGGACACTGCCCAAGGCAAGGTTCTGACCGACTTCGCAGCCTGGGAAGAAGAAGCCCTCTGGCCTGCCTTGCGAAAGAAGTATGGTATCAAAGACGCGTCCACGGCCCACGAGTCTACATCTGCGCTGCAAGTCAAGATCTGCGTTCCTGAAGCAACGGCGTTGCGATGCGGTCTTCGTCAGGCTCGAGTCTTCGCAAGCGAAACGTTGTCTGATACCGAACTGTCTGTTAAGAAGCACCTAGAGATCGCGCTACCAGCAGGGATGGCATATCGGACAGGCGATTGTCTCGCCATTCTGCCACAGAACCCAAGAGATGTCGTCAATCGCGCGCTGAAACAGTTTGGCCTGTCCGGGGATAGCATCTTGACCATTGACAGCACTACTGCTACGACACTGCCTCTTCGCACGCCCATCAGGGCGGCCGAAGTCTTCCGTGCCTATGTTGAGCTTGAGCAACCGGCCAGCAAGAGTGACATTCTGGTCATGTCGAGCGCGACACGCGATGAGACATTAAGTGCTGAGCTAAGCCGCCTTGCGGGCAAGGCTCATTACGAAGAGATTGTTGTCAAGCACTTGTCGGTGCTCGATCTGCTTGAGCGTTTCCCTGCCGTGAACGTATCGCCTGGCGCCTTTCTCTCCATGCAGCCACCGATGAACCTTCGGCGTTATTGCATCTCGTCCTCGCCTTTGTGGAACTCTTGCCGCGCTACTGTGACCTGCTGTGTTACAGATCGGTTGGCCATACATGGCCAGCAGCGGGCTTCCGGGCTGGCGTCAGCATACCTCTCTTCTCTTGCTGCTGGTGACGAGGTGTTTGTTAGCGTAAAAGAGTGTGCTGACAAGTTCCTTTTGCCCGAAGCAGCCGACGATGTTCCGCTCATTTTGATTGCTGCAGGAACCGGTATGGCATTGCGCGTTACACTTGCTCTTCTCTCACTAATTGAAACATAGGAATCGCACCCTTCCGGAGCTTTGTACAAGAACGCGCAGCACAACTGGCTACCGGCCGCGTCCTCGCCGCTGCTTTGCTCTTCTATGGATGTCGCTCACATGCAGATGACCTCTATGCTGACTCTCTCGAACGCTGGCAGCAACTAGGCGCTGTATCTATTCATCGTGCGTATTCACGCATGCCAGAGCAGTCACAGGGATGTAGATATGTGCAAGACCGTGTCTACCAGGATAGGACTGAGGTTATCAAGCTGCTCACGACAGGTGCACGTGTTGCAGTGTGCGTACCCGAGTGCGCAGTTGCAGGGGTCAGAAAGACTCTGATCGATATGACTGCAGAAACCCAGCGAGCTGTGGCGGAGGGAAAGAGTAAGGGCACTGAAACGGATATCGCAGAACTTCATCTCGAGACTGCGTGGCACGTCTGGAAAAGTTCATCTGAGATCGAGCGGGATGCATCAGAGCAGTGAATGCTGTACAAGTCATATATTGTCACGGTTAGGGTGCTGCTGCCTGTCGTACCTCACCTGCCATGAGAGTGACTGCCACGTCACACTAGCGTTGTTTACAGCTACCCACCTATACATACTGTGACGGTTTATGGAGTATGGAGGTCATGTGTGCCACGTGTGTTAGTGCTCTTGCTCTTTCCAACAAGCACCTCCTGCTCTTGACTGCACGAAATACATACGTCATGTAAACAGGCCCCGCTGGGGGTCGAGTGAGAGAACACTGAACAAGAACAACAACAATATATACTGATTTTACTGCTTCGCGCGGTTACCCCTGACTTACTGCCCTGCGCAGGTACACCTTCACTTATTGCATTTACTGCAACAAATTGACTTTGATTTGTAGGGGTGCTGGACTGATCAGGTTGGGTTTGGATGCTTCCCCAGTGACACACCGTGATGCCATTTCTGGAATATCATCGTTGTGTGTGTTACTACGGTAACATGTGTAATTGGACACCATAGATGTGCGAAATGATGCTTACTTTGCGCCGCTTTGCGTAACAGTCCAGTGCAGTTCAACGTGGAGCAGAACTCGAAAAGACGCGTCATCTCATAATCCTCATACAAATCATGCCGACACTTTGATCGACCAGATGTCGGAGTAAGCATCATTCATTGCCCAAGGACTTTCAAACGGCGCCCTGGCTCAACCGAACTGGCGGGGCCATGCGCTGTCCGCCGTTAACGCCGGCAGGGTCTGTCTGCGCTAGTGCACGTGGTGGAAAGGGGGCAAGCCGGTGCATGCGCGCTTGACGACACGCCAGGAACGCGATGCGGCAAGCAATCTGTGCAGCGCCACACGCCGGGGTTGCTGCTGTGGAGCCCCAAGCTTGCCAGGGGTCGGCAGCATGGCGCCGTGCAAACCCCGGTCGCGACTCTTGACGTCGTTTCGTTCTGTGACCGCACAGCAAACACAACCCTTACTGTACTGTGCATTACTGTACTGTGCATTGCTGTACTGTACCATGACTCTTCGTCTTCTCTTCTTGAGTCAAGAGTCGTTCGGTACGCGCGAACCACACATGCGAGCGCGTCACGGCGACGACAAGCTCATCCACAATCGATCGCAGCGCCGCTAGCCGTTGCTTCGCATGTCACAGTCCCCAATGCTAGCATGACTCGAGGCTGCAGCGCAAGCTGAATAGGTTGGCAGGCGCGGCAGATGCAGCCGTGCTTACTGGAGCAGCACAGGCCACTTGTTCGAGGCGGCTCCAGTGTCTGTTGGATTCGCAGTATCGTACGCAGTAGCTGCTCGCTGCTTGTTTTGACGGCTGCTGCTTGCGGCCACGGCAGGAGTCATCCCGACAGCGAATGCAGGGGTCTGTACCGTGCAGTGCTGTCAGTGAGCAGAGTGACTGGAGGTGTGCCGGCCTGTTGGTGTCTGACTGTCGGATTACGCGTGCCATTGTACGGCACAGCAGCGTACTGGAGCGACTTTCCTGTTTGCCAAGGGAAGAGACCCCGAGTGGTTTATCATAGCGAGCGGCGCGGTGCTCCTGAGGCCATGTTTGACGAGAGGAGTGCAATACTGTACTGACCAAGCAACGCGGAAAGTAATTCACATGCTGAAGAGCTGCCATACCTACACGCTGATCAACACAAGCGATATGCTGCGTGGCGGAACAGACGCTGACAGGCCGGGGTATGCAGGCTCTGCAGCAGCCGCCGGCGCGTTCCTGCGGCCGACGTTGCGCCTGTCGCTTGTGCGAGTACAGCACATGCGCAGCAAGCGGGCGATCCGCACACGCCAGCACGACCGCGGCTGTTCTGGTCCGGGGCAGAGCATCTCGCGGGGTCTTGTTATCAGCTCCAGCACCGGTATGAAGGGCGCTACTCTTATGCTCAGGGAGACGAAACAGCTGGTTCACGAGCTCGCTGTACACAAGCATGCCTCGTTTCAGCGAGGAGGACAAGGCTCTGCTCTATGTCATCAGGACCACCGCCGAGCAGCTGAAAGTAGGCTCTTGGGACGACTGTGCAACCGTCTACAACTACTTGGCTTCGTGTTATAGAACTCAGGATGGGCTGACGGCTGCGTACCGCAGTCTCGAGAAAAGGAAACTGGAGACAAGCACGCGCACCACTGCGTGGGAAGCAACGAGGAAGCAGGTGGAGCAGTGGCTACGCAATGCAAGCCCGGTACACCGTCTTCCAAAGAGCGAAGCTAACGAGCAGCGCAGAAAGAGCGACCTCCCTGGAGCAGCCCAATGCCGTGCCAAGGCCCAGTGGAGAGCGAAGACAGCGAAGTTGTGTGCCCGGCTCCCAAGCGGATGATCTCGCTGCCATTGACGGAGTGGAGCGACAAGAGTGCACAGATGGATCTCGTGGTGGACACAGCCCTCTTTCCACAGCAGAGCGCCCCGTCGGAGGGGTTTTGTCAGGCAGCAGGTGGATATGCCAACAACGCCGCGCTGTGGCCTATGCAAGCGACCGAGTATCCCTTTACCGGCACTGCCACCACCCCGTTTGACGCTACAGCCATGCACTGGCCCATCGACGCCGCGACTGTGAGTGGAATGAGCAACGCAGCTATGAATGGACTCGACAACGCAGCTATGTGTGGACTCGACAACGCAGCCATGTTCGGAGCAAACAGCCCAGCCCCGTTTGACGCTACAGCCATGCACTGGCCCATCGACGCCGCGACTGTGAGTGGAATGAGCAACGCAGCTATGTATGGACTCGACAACGCAGCTATGTGTGGACTCGACAACGCAGCCATGTTCGGAGCAAACAGCCCAGTCATGTATGGATCAGCCCTGTATGGATCAGCCCTGTATGGATCAGGCAGCCCACCCATGTATGGAGCAGGCGGCTCAGCCACGTATGGAGCAAACAGCTCAGCCATGAACGGAGCAGACAGCTCATACATGTTCGGAATGGAGTTCGGAATGGAGTTCGGAATGGACTGCACAGCCGTGGACGCGGTGGAAAACCCGTTCCACAACAACACTCTTAACTGCTGCAGCACGCCCATGAGCAACTCAGCTCTAATTGCTTCCAAAAGCAGCCCGACCCTAAGTGAGTTCGGCTACGCCGCGAACGAAGCGACCCAAACCGTCCGGCCAACACACTCTCCCAGTAAGCACCCATCAAACCCACAACGAGGGCTCACTAACAGGCACTCCAAGGCCCCAACACAGAGTCAACGAGCATCATGAACACATTCAGTTGGCAGAACACGCAAGAGTTGATGTCTTCACAAGAGTTGTATTTGCTGCTGAAGGCCAGTGAAGCCGGCTCCGATGCTGTCTAGTATCCTCGCTCTCTTGCCGCTTCCAACTGTTGTGGCGAGCAGGCAGCACATATTAGCGTAGCTGTGCGAGTTAGTCCAATGGCGACCGCTGCTCAATGTCGAAAGATGTGCGCTCACCATATGAATCTTTCACCGCCTTTGTAGTCCACGTTCTCTGTCTGGAGTCGTAGAGGATCGGGTTTTTTCTCAGCTCGGCCAACTGACTTCGGACAGCGGTGAGGGTTCGTTGCTTGTTGGCTATACGTCGGAGAAGGTTGCAAAGCATTTCGTGGACGAAGAGTCGTTTGTCGAAGTAGATGATGATTGCTCTTTCGAACCAAGTCCACCCAGCTCCGGCCATGATGCGAACCGGGTGTGAGGAGCGTTGTTTGCAAGGAGAGTCACCATACCTCGGACGTCCAGTATGTATCAGCAGCCGGTGAAGTGGCACAGCAGACCAGGCCTGTGTGTGCTAAAGCTGTCGCACTTCCAACAAGCATTCAGGGCAAGCGAGAGGCGCACGGGTGAACCTCTCGGCCGGGCCCAGACGTTGCGCCGCTCTATGGTTGCGGATTATGTCATTGTGCTGTCCGCTCGCTGCTGTGCTAGCCTAGATCAAGCAACGGGCAGACCGCCCGCTGAAGTTACAAAACACGACCTCGCCCAGCAGGACTAGCAAGACATGCACCCTTGTCGCCAGCTCAGGTCGATGGAACACGCATCTACGACGTCGTCTGGTGTCCACGCTGGGTCCCAGGCTAGACGACGTCGCATGTGGGCTGATCCTCCGTCAGTGTTGGACCAGTCGATGCTTAGAAGAAGGTTGAGGTCAGACGTTCGAGACAGAGTGAATAGATAGCTACAGCGATCCACATCATCGACGCCTCAACTCTCGCCCTGGAAGCTAGCTTCACAGGCCAGTGCGTACGTCAGCGTGAGCGATCAGCTCAGAACAAGGAAAGGATCCACTAGAAGATACCACGTAGTAGGACGAAGAGACGCCAGAAACGTTTCCCTTTACCACGGAAGCCCTTCAAAACAGCCGCCAGCAGCCGGAGTGCTGTGTCCAAACCTCGGAGTCTCCACGACTCGCCTCGCCGACTCTCTCGCATCCACTGGCCGCGCCACCCTGGACAGCTTTTCGAACGTAGATGCTGTACATTGTACACAACCAAAGTCCCCATAGCCGGGCTCCTCGCAGTTGCAGTATACTGCTCGGAGGAAGTTCCGCTCTTTGGACTACGTTACAGTTGGTCAGTTGAGTAGGTGTTACAATAGCGCTTGGGCCTTACAGAAACATCTGGTGAACCAGTGGTCGTCAAGCTAGTGATCATCCCGGTGCCTCTGGCAGGCGAGGGAGTCCCTCCGTATCGCTGTTGTTTGCAGCTCGTACAGCTTGTGCAAGATTCTTCGAACGTTGACAGATCACCGTAAGTAGGAAGGCCGTCCTGCAAGTGGATGCTTGCCACTGAGCCAGACTTTATATTGCATGAACGTTACATCACTAGTCCAAGCATGAAGCAACCACATGGCTTGCAATCAAGGGTAGCCCCCTACCGGTCCTGGGAACTATCAAACCGAGTAACCTCCCTCCCCGCAGTTCGAACATCCCGCCGCGCCGAACAAAACCACCGGTACTTCGACCTTGAACGCGTCTTGCTTCCACCACACTCCAAAAATTACTGTCCACTGAACGTGATAACTTGCTGTCAACAATTCTTCACACGCGGACGTCTTTATGGTTGGAAAATGCAACCGCGTTGACATTTTCCGCGCTTGTTCTGTACAGCGTCCTGTTTGGCGGCAAAACGCACTCCTTCCTCTACGGCAGCACCAAAGCAGTATTGCTGCTCCCAAAACATATAAACAAGCTCTACTGAGACTTGCTAACATCGTAACACCACGTAGAACCTGATGCAAGTGTTGTGGCTGCTGTCGTGCAAGGTTTCACACGCCCTGCACGCGCGAGCAGGTACCTCCGAATCAAGTGTGCTGCAACACTGGCTAGCGCAAGACAGCCTCACGCCACACAGGCGCCGCTTACAGCGTTAGATAACCCATCCATTGTTATGGCACTGCCGGGGTTGTGGCTGGGCATGGTTCTTGCGTGCCGATGCCGGCATGGGAGCGTTCAGGAAGCGTATGTGGCACACTTGCAGCAAGCTACACATATCTGCAGCGTTCTAACAAATAAGACAAAGTGCAAGCTGTGTCTGTACTTCTAACGACCAAATCTATCTACTATGCGCAAGTCAGCTAGCAGCTTTGACAAATGTTACATGTAGTCTTGACGAATCTACAATCGCAACAACTGCTTGTTCTTCCTTATGCTCGCACCGCAGGTACTGTATATGCGCAACGATGCGTGCATGAGAACGCTCCTACATCCGACCGCAGTGCCCCTGCACACAGCCCTACCTCAGCCGATGCAGAACTACGCGCCCAGACGGACACCCAAGACAGACCATGTCTCTGCATACTGCTGTTTTGTATGCCCGATACTCGAACGGCAGCCATAGAAAGCGTTGCGTGTTGCGCAGCACCCACTGGTCCCTGACTGACAGGAGAGAAGCATGCTCTTCTGGCTTTACAGGCGACGTCAGGCTTAGATCTGCAGGCAGCGGAATGCCTCCTTGGTCGGTGCGCAGAGCACTCCCGTCTGACGAAAAAGTGAGCTCGTAAATGTTCGAGTACGGGCTGTCAAGCACGCTGCAACACGTGCCCGTCGCCGTCTCCCACACTTGCACTGTGCTGTCGTCAGATGCTAGGCAAGTATCCTACGCAACGAACGTTGGAGAAAATATCAACTTGAACGACCAGACCTCATGGCGTACCACTCATGCCAATCTCGAGAGATAATATGGGAAGAACTGCTACAAATAAGTGAAGCAAGAATGTGAAAACAAGCAAGTGACTTCGCTGTAGGATGTCCACGCTGCCCGCGTTCAAGTCGTGTAAGTTGTCGATAGAGTAGCTTTTGTTTACGAGTTGACACCAAACGGGTTCGCGTCTGCCAAATCGTTCTTAAGCACTGCACCAGAACTCCAGAAAAACCTCAGAGGCAGGCTGAAAATCCCCTCGTTCTTCTTTGACGGAATGTATCTTCAGTCAAGCGGCTCTTGCGGGTATGACGTCTGGCTGGACAAGGACGAGGAAGTGGAGTTTTACAGTATGTATAATAGCGCTGGCAAAGCTCAGGACACCGTCGGGATGTCGCTCATCTGGCCCCAGCGTACTGGTCCCGCTTCACCGTCAAGCAGACGTACGACAAGCTCCAGCCGAAGAGGGTGTTCACACCACAAGTCTCCAACCATCACTCCAGCCCCGGCGAGTGGAACACTGACATCGCGATACATGGGCCGCAGAATGCGCGGCACGGGTGGCAATGGTACGAGATGGGGTTCTTCGCATGCTAGATGCAGTCGGGGCCGGTCACGCTGCTGTGCCTCGATCTACCTGTGAAGTCGCAATCGGATATCCAGGCAAAGTTATGGCCGCAGGACGCCTCTCGTTCCTGTAATGGGCTAGACCCATGTGGACCCACCTTGTGGGCTAGGCTTAGAACCTAGGAGCAGCGCAGTCATGCTTTTCCACCTAGATATATATCGACTATGCAAGATGAATCTCGTTGATTCAACTTGCGCATGCCTTTTGGCATAGGTTGGTGCATATAGTCGTGCATATTGTCTTTTGGACTCCACCCTTTACAGTTCCTGTCCGTACGCCGTGTTTCCGCAGGTCCTGGATGCGCTGCTTCGGCTGTATGATGACTCGGTCTGGGCGATCAGAAATCAGCCAGTGGGAAGCCGTAAGTTTCGTTCGCCGCGCCTGTCGCTAACAGCAGTGAGGCTCACCAGCAACAGAGGAGGTCAGTAGAGGCCGACTACTTCCTTTTGCACGAGATTTCGAGACACGGGGTGCACGTCAGCGAGACTCTCAGCGTGGCCATACGGTTTCTTGACACCATTCACGGCAACGTACATATCGGACGATTTTGAGGTGTCTTGTTGTATTTACTAGCGACTTAGAGATAGAAATGATGCCAAAGATATTTCTGTATACAATCAGCTAAGAGTCACGGTGCAATTAACAGTACAAGAGCCACAGCGAGTCTGGCGGGGCAAGCGGGTCGACGATCAGGCGTATGGTATGCATATGTGCTTAGCCCCAGCCGTGGACTTCGCAAGCGACTGCTCGGGATCGTCAGGCTGAGGGCCATCAGGCTGCAAGCGCTGCGCCGCAGACACCATCGTCGCAGACTCTATCACTGTAGACACACCAATGTTGGTGCATGCTCTTCCACAGTGATGCCATGACCTCTACAACATCTAACGTAGCGTTTGGCAACGCATACTCTAGCGTCCAAGCCAACAACATCAACGGCTCTGTCCACATTGGTACGTCGCGGGACTGCCCGAGGGCCGTCAAGCTATCGTAGAAGCGGGGCGCTAAGCGGACACCTCAAGCAGGACTCGAGAACACACTCAGTCGTCTACCACACGCCAATGATGCGCCCTTCAACTCCTACGCAAAGCAGCACGAGCCTGCATGCCTCCCTGACACGCGTATCGACCTCCTCCGCGAGATATACAGCTGGGCGGATGGGTCAGACGAGCGATGCATCTTCTGGCTGAGCGGGCTGGCGGGCACGGGCAAGTCGACCATCGCCCGGACCGTCGCGCGCAAGTACTTCGACGAGCGACGTCTCGCAGCGAGCTTCTTCTTCTCGCGCGGCGGCGGCGATGTTGGTCATGCTGGCAAGTTTGTGACAAGCATCGCAGTGCAGCTTGCGCACAGCGTGCCAGCATTGCGGCAGCACATCAGCGACGCTGTCGCAGAGTGCAGCGACATTGTCAGCCAGTCGCTGCGCGACCAGTGGCAGCACCTGGTCTGCCGCCCGCTGTCGAAGCTGCGCGAGCCTGGGCCATACGTCGTAGTCGTCGATGCGCTCGACGAGTGCGACAACGACAGCAATATCCGCATCATCGTGCAGCTGCTGGCCGAAGCGCGGTCGTTGACGGATGTCCGGCTGCGGGTGTTCCTGACAAGCAGACCAGAAGTGCCGATCCGGCACGGGTTCGGGCAGGTACCGCATGCAGAGCACAAGGACGTTGTGCTACACGACACCTCGCCGTTGATTGTCGACCACGACATAGCCATTTTCCTTGAGCACCACCTCAAGGTCATCGCCAAAGAATATTATCAGGTTGCTGACTGGCCGGGTGCAGAAACCATCAGACTGTTAGTGCAGCGTGCAAGCGGTCTGTTCATCTGGGCAGCAACTGCCTGTCTCTTTGTTCATGAAGGGCTATTCCCCGACGTGAGATTGCGCATACTTGTTGAGGGCAGTGCCCCTGGTGATGCTGCCACACCAGAAGAACACCTTAACAGGATGTATGTCACAGTCCTGCAGACCTCGGTTCAACCTGGGTACAGTGCGCATGAAATGACTATGTACTACAGCATGCTGCGACTTATCCTGGGAGCTATTGTGACCTTGGCTTCTCCACTCTCTGTTAGATCCTTAGGTGCGCTTCTCCTTGTACCAAAGCATAAGATAGACCGTATGCTGAAGGATCTGCATGCTATTCTTAACATTCCAGAAGACCCTACTCAGCCGCTTCGTCTGCACCACCCTTCATTCCGCGACTTTCTCCTCAGCAAAGACAGATGCGGCGACGACAGCTTCTGGGTAGACGAGAGTACCACACACGAGAAGCTGGCGTCTTGTTGCCTCGAGCTTATGTCTGCGCCTAACGGTCTTCAACAGGACATGTGCAATCTCTCTGAGCCGGGGATCCTGAGAAGCGAGATAGGAGAGCAGACAGTAGCTCGCAGACTGTCGCCTGAGCTGCAGTATGCGTGCCGCTTCTGGGTGGAGCATCTCGAGCGCAGCCAGCGCAGCATTGCAGACGGTGAGACAGCGCACGTCTTCCTCCAGATGCACCTTCTGCACTGGCTGGAAGCGATGAGCCTGATGGGGGAGACGAGCCAGTGTGTACGATTGCTGGCAAGACTGCAGGGGTTGGTGGCAGTAAGGGGTCCTGCACAGAAGATATATCCACTATATGCTGACCTCCAACACAGTCATCTGCAAGCACGTGTACAGGCTTCCTCCGCGATGCGAATCGGTTTATCCTGCGTTTCTGTTCGATCGTGGCAGAGGCTCCTCTCCAGGTGTACTCGTCAGCGCTTGTCTTCGCACCCGACACGAGCATTGTCCGGAAGGCGTTTGTCGAGCAGGTCCCACAAGCAGTGGAGATGCTGTCAGGCCGAGAAGCAGACTGGGACGCGTGTCGTAGTGTGCTGGAAGGCCATTCAGACCAGGTCAATGCGGTGGTGTTCTCGCCAGACGGACAGCTGCTCGCCTCAGCATCTGACGACAAGACAGTGCGAGTGTGGGAGACGGCGACAGGGACGTGTCGCAGCG